CTGATGGCTGCGGGGCACTTCCCAGATGTTGTTGTCTGGTTGCGCCCTTTAAATCTGCCCGGCATTCGTGCCTGTCTTGGGTCTAATTGTGTGTATGATTGCAGCCTAACTGATGCAAATTGATGGAAACCATCCCTAGTGGGAGTGGCTGGGCTTCAGCTTTACTCTGAGGCAGCAGATGCTAGAAGCCATGGGATTTGCTTCCTGGTAGCAACCAAAAAAGAGTGGTCCCGTCATTTCTGCATCCTGCCGTCATGTATGAAGATAGGAAGCTGCCTTATAGAGAGTCACTGTTATTGCTCCATCTAGCTCAGTATTATGTCTCTCTGGTAGACGTTTTGACAGGTGCTGAGCAGAGAAATGTCTTTTCCAACACCTGGTACCTGACATCAGTTTCTTTTTAAACTGAAGATGCTGGGCCTGGACCTTCTGCGTGCAAACCGTGTGATCTTTTTCGAAGCCAGCAGCCTTGAATCAGCCATCCTGGGGCATAAGTTGCTTCCATACAAGGAACAGAAGAAACCCCCTGAATTCAATGGGAATGTTCATTTTGAATATGAATCATGTGTAGGGTTGGCAACGGCCTGGAACAAGAAATCTGTCCTGTCCCTTTAATACTGGCTTGATGAGATTTTATTTTACCTGATGGTATTATATGCCTCCATGCCATGAAATGCTTCTGCTTGCCATTCCACATGTGAAAGGGGCACGAATATGTTTCTCTAGGCTAGCTGGCAACTTTACGGGCTTCTTTCTGCAGATTAAGAAAAAAAATCCTCCTTGACCACGTGATCCAGGGTAGCTGCAGATGCTCCACCCACTGTCAGTATGGGAGGAGGGTGGAGCTAAGCTCTGCTTTCAGAATGGCAGGCCTCTCACTGCCACGCCCCATCACCCCCACTTGGCCCTCTAAAAGGAAGGTTGCCAACCTCCAGGTGGTGGCTGGAGACCTCCTGGGATTACGACTGATCTCCGGGTGACAGAGATTAGCTCCCCTGGAGAAAAGGGCTGCTTTGGAAGGTGGACTCTATGGCATTATACCCCATTCAGTCTCCAGGCATTTCTCAACTTGGAGCTGGGAACTCCACTGGGGTTCCAGTACCTCCTTTCGTAACTTTAATGCCATTGAAGGGGTACCATAGTATAAGGCAGCGACGTGTGAGAACTCTGCACACAGGGGGGGCTGTGGCCCAGTGGACGAGCATCTCCTTGGCATGCAGAAGGTCCCAGGTTCAATCCCCGGCATCTCCAGTTAAAAGGACCAGGCGGTAGGTGATGTGAAAGACCTCAGCCTGAGACCCTGGAGAGCTGCTGCCAGTCTGAATAAGACAAGAATAACAGTGATGGAATCACAGAATCACAGAGTGCCTTGATCCATTTAACATCCACACTTAAAACACTATTTTTGTGCCCTCAGATGGACTAATAATGGCTGGAATATATACAGGGTTTCAGAGTGTTTAGAATACACTGTGCAAGTTGTTTTGCTGGAAACTATGCTGGACAGGAGGTCTGATTCTGCAGATGGAGGCCTGACTCTTGGAGAAACTGGCTTGCCTCAGGCCACCTTGTAAATTTTGTTTTACATCTTAAAAGCATGTCTACCCCATCTTTCTCACGGCCAACTGGTTGCTGGCAGAAGCAAGATGCAAAGTAGGGAACTCCTGGCTTTGGCTCCATTTTTTAGCTGCCCAAGAGAAGACTGAGGTGTGAACCAAATGTTCATCTGTTAACACCCCCGTATTGCTCCTGAAACCCACTTCCATTCAGAGGCAACTCTGCTCCTCCTCTTCTTCTCCGTGTGCCACAGATGGTGTGCATATTGATAATATTGTTTTTGTGCCTAATATTGTTTATGTGCCGTGGCTCAGATTTCAAATCCTCCCAGTAATTCTCAGCAACTTTCCCCCAAGGCGTTACAGGCTCTATATCTAACAAGGGCAATTACATCTATATAAACAATTGACTGGGCTAAGTATTGCAATCGACTTCCATAGGCAGGATTGTGAGCCAAATCTGGAACAAATGCAACCTCGGCAATTTACAGCATGCCCAATGAATCTGGAGCTCATTTTTTCAAAAATATCCCAATTGATCTGAGTCCATTAGAAGTTTTATGGTTCAATCGCTGTAAAATTACATACTTAAAAATACAATGACACCCAATGAAATCCCAGCGGTATCAGTCACTACAGCGGCAGGATTTTCGCATTTTTTCTTTCTCGTGTCCATTTGTCATTTCTGGGCGATGTTTACAACTTGTTTGAATTATCGTGCAAGCCTAAACAGAGTCAGAAGAATGTAAGACCATTGGAGTTAATTGGGTTTAGCAGTGCTAAACTCTGCTTAGGATGGCACTGTCAATATACTTTCATAAAACACGTTGTTGCTCTGAAACGATCTCATTTTCCAAATATTTATAATGCGGGGAAACCAGACCCCGCTGGCGGCAGCGGGAGCGAGATGAAAACTGTAAATCTCAGTGCATGGAAAAAGGCAAATCTCATTACGATGTCTGCAGTCTTCTTTTTTTGATTACTCTTTTTATTGGGGCTTGATAGAAAAAGAACCTGAGAAACAATATTTTTGTAATAACTCTCTAACACCCACACACACACACACCTCAATACAAACAGAGTCACCCTGTTCACAGCAAATCATGAAAGTGTCCCAAGAGACAGTGGTTTTTAGCTTTCCTCTTATAACAAAAGCACTGGGGTGGTGGAATGGTTAAGAGAGGCCTACTAGTACAGGGGTAGCCCAACTTGCTTCATGTAAGAGCCACATAGACTAAATGTCAGATGCTTGAGAGCCACAAGATGAATTTGGAGGAAGAGGTTAGTTTGGGGAAATGGACCCACCCCCTACACTGAAGAAAAAACCGGTGTGCTGGGGGTGGAATCGCGGCAGCTTAAAGTGAACCTAGGAAGCCTCATGAGCCGCAGAAGACGGCTCTAAGAGCTGCATGCGGTTTGCGACTGGTAACACGGGGGTATGGCCTAATATGCTAATGAACTGTACTATCCAGGGTGTGGTGTAATATGCTAATGAGTTTCTGCTGGTGGGGGTGGCCTATTATGCTAATGAGTTCCTGCTGGGCTTTTTCTACCAAAAAAGCCCTGAGTAGGATATTGGGTGTCAGGCAATTAATTGTCACGGAGCCTTCCTATAATTCAATGGGAGCCAGTGTATTGTAGTGATCAAGAGTGTTGTAATAGTACCTGGGAGACCTGGGTTCGAATACCCCCTTGTGTTGGGTGATTTTGGGCCAGTCACACTCCCAGGGTTGTTGTGAAGATTAAACGGAGGAGGGAAGAACACTGTAAGCCAGTTTGGAATCTCCCTTTAGTTAAAAAAAAAAAGTGAGGCACAAATGACTTAAATATATAATACAGATTTGCTTTGAACGATGTGGGCCCACACGCACCTATGATGTTATTATTATTATTTATTTATTTTTTAAAAAAACCTGTGATTAAAATGTGGAATCCGCTGCCAGAGGATGCAGTGATGGCCACAGGCACGGACCACTTTAAAAGGGAACTAGATACATTCATGGAGGAAAGGTCTGTCAGTGGTGCCAGGGTGGCTACAGGGAGCCTCCACATTCAAAGGCAAAAAGGCACTCTGTATCCCAGTGCCAGGAGTCAACATCAGGGAAAGCCTCGGCCTCTCTGTCCTGTTGGAGGCTCTCCAGAGAAACTGGTTGGCCACTGTGTGAGACGGGATGGTGGACCAGATGGACCACTGGTAGGATCCAGCAAGGCTCTTCCTATAGAATGAAATCAGTGTCTGGTTCTGCATTGGCTTTTCCCTCTGTTGTTTTAGCAAACCCATGTTGGAACAGAAATTCCCCGCTGCCTTGCATTTAAAAACCCTTCGAAATATCTCTTATGTCTACTTGGTATATCCATTTAACATCTATAACACTATGTAGTCCTAGAAGAAAGAGTCCAGTGGCACCTTTAAGACCCACAAAGTTTTATTCAAGGTGTGAGCTTCCCTGTGCAAGGCAGGAATTCCATAGCATCGTTGTATATCTAGGGGTGGCAAGCTCACACCTTGAAGAAAACTTTGCGGGTCTTAAAGGTGCCACCGGACGCTTCACTTCGTTCTGTTGCGTCAGACCAACAGGGCTGCCCCACCTCGACCTATGTCGTCCTAGTTACTGTCGAGATAAGATGAGAGCCACGACGTGGAGAGAGAAGTGAATGGGAGTGGAAACGTGTCAGGCGCCGGAGTGGGATTGCGTGGAGGCGTCGAGGGGGGGGCTGAAGAGCGGCCCTCGCCAGGGCCGGCTCACCCACTAGGTGAACTAGGCATTAGCCTAGAGCACCGGACCCTAGATTGGGCTCCAAGCTGTGCCTCCCCCCTCCTCCCCCCCTTTGGTGGCGCCTATGTCGTCCTAGTTACTGTCGCGATAAGCTGAGAGCCACGACGTGGAGAGAGAAATGAATGGGGGTGGAAACGTGACAGGCGCCGGAGCGGGATTGCGTCGAGGCGTCGAGGGGGGCTGAAGAGCGGCCCTTGCCCCGGTAGGGAGCTCTTTGCGCCCAAGGTGGACCGCCGTCGAGCCGCGCCTCGCTTCCCCTCCAGTCCTCCCTCTCGGGCGTTGGCCAGAGGGCGCGCAGGGGCGGCGAGTGACATCACCCCGCCCGGTGGGGCCAGGAGCCGCCGGCGTCGTGGGGCGACTGAGTCGTCTTGCGCCGCGACGCCCCGGGTCATTCCACGCCGAGGTCTGCATTGGCTCACCGGAGGCGGCCCGGCCGGGAACTGCGACTCTCTCTCACTCTCTCTCTCTCGCCTCATCTCTCTCCCCCC